GTGCGGCTTGGCTTGAGGGATCTCTTTTCGGTGGGGGGGGTAGCAGGAAGAGAGGTAGAGAGAAGAGATCGGATTTGTAAGCTGCTCTGAGACTCCCTTGGGTAGTGAAGGGCAGGGTATAAATCCAATCTCTTCTTCTTCTTTTACCTCACAGGGTGTCTCTTGTGGGGAGGGGAAGGGAAAGGAGTTTGTCAGCCGCTCTGAGACTCCTTTGGGCAGTGAAGGGCAGGGTATAAATCCAATCTCTTCTTCTTCCTCTTTTACCTCACAGGGTGTCTCTTGTGGGGAGGGGAAGGGAAAGGAGTTCGTAAGCCGCTCTGAGACTCCTTCGGGTAGTGAAGGGCAGGGTATAAATCCAGTCTCTTCTTCTTCATTCCTAGACTATCCTGACTGAGGCCAAATACGGTCAGCCACCTGGAGAGCACGTAGAGGGCTACCTCCGAGAGAGCAAACCTTTGCCTAGATTCCAGGCAGGCTCCACCTCGAAGATGAAGCTGAGGCTTGGCAGACCATGCCCACGCCAACTGGAGACCTGTCCCACTGCTCCATGCCTTGCCAGTCACCGCCAACCACCTCCCCTTTCCATCCTTAATCCTCACGCACGCACGCCCACCCCTCCTGGCTTTCCCAGGCAATTAATACACCACCCCCTCAACCATTACAGCACAAGCATCCCATTAAAGCACCATCCATCTTCCTTCAAGGGCTCCAGGAAGCTACAGTGGGCAATTCTGTCTAAATAGAGGAGGAATGACCCCCCCCCAAAAAAAGAGGGGGGGGTGGCTTAAGGTTAATAACTGTGTGTGGGAAGGGAGGGGAGAGGGAACCAAAGGCAGTTCTCCCTCTAAGCTGTGGAGTCTTGCGAGCAAAAATTCTCCTTTGTGAGCTCCTGGCATTCAAGTTGTGGGGGAGCGATTTGGCTCCTGCATAAAACAGTTGGCTCTGAAGCCCTTCTTCCTGAGCGAAGACAAAAGTGTGTGTGAGCCAAAGGCTAAAAAACTGTGAGCTAGCTCACACTAACTCAGCTTAGAGGGAACACTGACCAAAGGTACATATGAGTAAAATGCAAAACCAGCGCGGTGTAGTGGTTAAAAGGGTCAGACTAGGATCTGGGGAAATAGGGTTGCTAGACTTCTGGTAAGGGCGAGGTTCACCCCGATTTCTAGGGCTCCAGCCTGCTGCCGGCCCCACCCCCAAACAGGCATGTCGCCGTGCGATGTCGCTGTCACAATGACGTCACCTAGAAGTAACATCATCACGTTGCTGCTGTGGGGGGGTGACGCTCTAGTTTTTGGGCAAACTCTATCGTTTCAAAGTCAAAAAACCATAGTTTGCCCAGAACCTAGAGCGTCACCTCACCCCAACGTCGGCAACTTGATGATGTCACCTCTGGGTGACGTCCAGGGGTCATTTCCTGTGGGAGTGCACAGGAGCGGAGCTCCGGCAGTAAGGAGCTCAGGGGGCGGGTACATGAAACAAGCCCCGCCCCCTGCTCCCAGCAGCCCTCAGTCGGGCCACAAGGAGCAAGAAGCAGCCAGGTAAGTTGCAGAGCCCCCCCCCCCCCGACCCCCTTCAG